TAATTACTAAATATTATTTAAACCTAAATTATATACTTATTTATATATTTATATAAAAATTTGCAAGACCATGACAATTAGTTGATGTTTTTAATGAGTTACTTAAGGTAAAATACCTTTGCTTTGCTCAGTAAAATTGTAAAAAACTATTTTTTACACCTATAACCCTAATTCCAACCCTAATCTAACAAGATTTTTGTTAATTATCATGTCATAGAATAGCATTCATCTTTTTTTTGTGTCGCAATATTAGCAAATACTAATCAAAGGTAGATTCTGCAACATGGGTACATTCAAAGACAGTAAATTGTGCAACATTTTGTCACACAATATGCCAAAAATGTTGTGCTATTGTTGAAAGTATGAGTAACATTTTGATTGCACAATTCCATGACACGCTTTTTGGGAAATGTGATGAAACATGTTGCACAATAACCCTACTTATCAGTTATATAATATTTATTTTATTGACTATATCTAAATATAAAGTCAATAAGAATACATCTTCTTATTACACATAAAGAAAATTATAAGTTGTTGACTGTAGTTATTCACTTAATTTTATGCATTTGATTGCACTGGCAAGTAAAGTTGATGTCATATTGGGGGCCATACATTTTAAGTGTCGTTTGTCATAACATAACATTAGTGATGTTGGCGCTGAAGTGTAGGCCTGATGTGGCCTGTCGCCGATTCTTTTCCTTTTCGTGCCTTGTGTTGTTCTTCTATTGCTGCACAACTTCTTTTAAAATTTCACTACTTTTTAATTTATTTTCCAAATTACAATTTGCTCCATCAGTTATTGTGATTTCTTTGCTCTGTGCATTATTTTTAACTTGCAATTGGTTGCAAATTCAATCAATTCATCCCAAGCAATCAATTCATCCAAAATTTGTTTTACTAAGTATATAATTTGTTTATATGCATTTAATTCTGATATTCTTTTCAGTAGGTCATCTTAACTTATATGTTATATAACTAGTATATCTTAACTCTTAATTTTACTCATCTTGTATGCAACTTACTTCTTTTCTACAATTGTGTCATTCACATCCAGTTGATCCACAGTTGACCCTACATCCAGTTGATAGTGCCCTCACATCCTCACATTTAGCTATACAATAACATTATAAAATACTACTCTTGAAAGTTACAGATTCCTACTTTCACTGTATATTTACTATTACCATGACATTTATTCACCTTTTTTCTGGTTAGGTTGCTGCCAACTGAAAATAATGTAGTAACATGTTTATCATATCATGAGACTTGTCTCTAGCAACCACGTTAAATGATTAAAACTGCCAGCTGCACCATTCTAGTACTATACATACATTTTTTGATGTGACAATTCTAAAGTTAAATTTAATGTGGCTTAAAGTATTTTTGGATGCAGAGGTTATATATTTAAATCTATTTGAAAGATAATATGAAAGTGTTTTATTTGGTTCCAGTGTTATTCATGCATTATTTATAGCATTTAGGCCAAATTTAGCTTCAGTAACAGCTCTGGTGCTATAGCCACATGTCTGTCTCCAGCAGGTGAGGCAATTACTTATTTGTTTGTAGGCTGACATCAACCTACTAAGAAGTGGACAATGGTTAAGGGGACCGTCTACCCTAAAAATCGGAAATTTTGGCTTTTCAGTTTTCTTGACTCATTTTGTACTGCTGCTGAAAAAGCGCGTCTAACGCAGTTTACCGCATGTCTGTGCGTGCTATAGTTTTTGCGCAAGACAATTTTAAAAATATATAAAATGAACATTTTTTAACAATATGTACAAAGATTTATTTGAATTAAATCTGTATATATAGATCATTACTTTTGTTAATTACTAAGTGTTTGCACTCGTTTGAAAGCTACAAACGAGACGCGTTCAACAAAGCTACTACCATTGATGTACATGCAAATTTTTTGTGTAGTCTTAAACTTTTTTAAACTTTTTTTTAAACTTTTATAAAATGAACATTTTATAACTTTATTTACTAATAAATGGTATTTATATGTCATTATTTAGGTTAAATGCAAAGTGTTTGCACTCGTTTGAAAGCTACAAACAAGACGCGTTCAACACAGCTACTACCATTGATGTACGTACAATAGTTTTTGCCGAATGCAGTTGTAACGTTATGTAAAATGAATATTTCATATATATATTTATATATAAAAAGTCCAATTTATAGCATATTATTCACATTAAATTTGACATAAATAGGTCTATAGACGCTTGCTGGTACCCTGAAAGCAAATAATTGGCAATGGGAAAGCTTGAGCTACAAAATCAAGACTTTTTTGGGTATACTCTTCTGTTTTCAATGAATTTTACTTTATTTGGCCCCTGAACTATTAAAATTTTCGTTTTTTGTCTTTTTGAAAACCTATCTCCTCCTACAGTTTTCAAGCTACAGCAATGAGACATATACCATTCGATTTGTAAAGACCATACCTATTGACTCTAACATCATTTTTTGGAATTTGTGTATGGTTCATCTTATATATGGGGGAGAAGGGGGGGGAGGGGGAAAAAATGAGAAAAATGGGAAAAATGTGCATAAAAAAACTATGGGGAAAATGAGAAAAGTGATGTTAGATTCGATTGGTATGGTCTTTACGAATAGAATGATACGTGCCTCAATGTTGTAGGATGATATTTGTAGGAGGAGATAGATTTTCTAAAGTACCTGTTTTTAGCCGTTTTCTATTAATTTCACGTTTTCTATCAATTTTTTAAAAAAATTCATATGAACAACATGTTTTTTTTTTACATTTCACGTGTGTGTGTGAAGTTTCATGGTGATCGGATAATAACTGTAGAAGTTTTTACGGAGGGTAGACAGTCCCCTTAATTTGAAGTTGTTCTTCTATTGCTGCAAATTAATAAAAATATATATGTCAATGAGTTCATGAAATGGCTTTAGCAATCCATAATAAGACATCAGTGAGATAAATTTCAAGAAGTTCAATAGTTTGAGTGCTCCAGTATTTGAAATCTGGACAATGTATGCAAAAAATTTTTCTTGAAAGAAAGTAATACTTGTGAGCTGTAAACCTCTAACTTTCTTAGAAGAACTGATAAATGCATTGTTGAAATATCAAATAAAAATGTCAAATAATGTCTACTGCTACTGAGGCTGACTAGTACACAATGTGCTGGTCGAAATTGTATGCTGAAATTTTTAATGCTGAATATTGGCTACCAAAAGACTACTTGACAAATCAGCAAGCAGTTCTTGACCCTTGGGCATTATTCCATGTCTTTGTTGAAAATTTTAATTATTGCATGTCCCATGTTTGAACAGTTGTACATTTGTGCTGTAGGGTATGATATTGGCTATTGCCTTGTTTTATATTATGCCTTATTTGATGATCTTATCACTTGACCATACTAATCTTAAATCAACTTTGAGGACCAGTTTCTGTCACACCTTGTATCTCCAGTGAGTGTTTAACTCTCAAGTCTGAGTGCTTTCTTTAAATCTTTCAATCTTTCTCTGTACTGGTATGTCTTTTTAAAAGTTCCAAATATATACCTAGTTTCTAAACATATAATATACATTGCGGGCAATTGTTAGCAGATGAAATATTCATTGCTTAAGATTTGTATTTTGTGAGCTGCTTTGAGATTGCTATCAATATCATATGTATGGGATTAGAAAAAGTAATGGATTTGAATTTCAATGTCTTTATTACATGTCCTAGGTTTGTGTGAGATCCCTATTATTTTGAACTTGAGTACATCATAATCCAAAATTTGAAATAATGAAATTCTGCTTTATATTGACACCATATGCATTGTGTAAATAAATAAGAAATTGTCTTGATTCAGCCTTCAGAATAGAAATGCGCTATTGCCTCTCTGTATTAAATATAATTTAGACCTTCTGGCAAACCGTTTGTTGCCCAATAATCTCAGAGCTTATAAAACTTTCTTCAGATTACAATTGCTGGTATTCTAATTTGGTTTTGAACAAAAATACTTGTAAAAAATCTTTAGTCTTGATTTGCAATGCAGGCAAAACTTAATTTTCTATTTTTATTAAATTTTAAGTGTATAATTTACATAAGAGTTGAATTCAAATTTTCAATCCATGACCAAATTCAAGCTGTCTCATAAACCCACTGATGGAAGTAAGGTTCTGACTTGATTCAAGGAAATTCTCATTCAATTGGTGTTTATACTGTATATTGTGGATGCCTATAATATTTTTAATAACCCATTAATGTTCTTGGTGCCTATTTACCAAAAAAAATAGATAGGTTATTAATTATTATCTATCTGCCCACTGATGAGAGGCTGTTAATATCATATACTCTTATGAATTGTTTTTTTGTATACTGTATTTTTTTAATCCCTGTGTAATTTTAACAACCATAGAAGTAATATATATGTATCATTTTTTTAGTTGAATTATCTTGAAAACTAAAAAACTACCTATTAAATATTACATTCACAAGAATTTAATCATTCCCAAGTAAGTATTAAATGACAGCTATTGAAGGAAATCTTCTTAACGTTGCTCTAAATTTGTGTAACAATAAGGTCTACCTTGTGCTTATGCCGCTTGGACCTTAATGAATATATACTGAAAATCAGAAATGTCTCTCATTTTTCATTCACATATAACGTTAATAGTGTTCTTGTCAATGAAGCAAGCATTATATTATTCAAAGAATCTTTTCACAATGCCTTGTTCCTCATTGGCTCTCATTTAGTGTGTCAGGTAAACTTTTTTTTTTTTGTTCTCAAGTAAAAGTTTCCAGCATGTTGCTTTTCCTAATATTTTACCACACATCTCAGTTTTGCTTAAGTTGAAGGCGCTGTTGTAGATCTGTATTAATTATTGAGCTCGGCCACATAAGTGTGAGACTCTGTGGTGCATAACATGGCCTTCCTGTGCATCCTGATCATCAGGGAACTTGGCCATGTTAACAATTGCGTTGCTCTCATAATTTTTTTATGTTCTACTCTTCTAATTATTTTTCATTCAAATTCTTTTTCAGATGCAAATTAGAATAATTCAACTTGCATTAGATATTTACATTTCTGTAGGGCAGTTTTAAATTCCGAATATCTTCATGGCTTGCTCAGGGATTCCGCCTTAGCCGAAATAAAATTGTCTGATTTTAAAATGACCTTTAATAAAGAATATCAGTCACTTTTCAAAGCTATATTCTTTTTGCATTCACTCCACCTCATGTATTACTTAAATAAACTGATTTTCTGAAGTGGGTAGGCTCGCTTGGAGTAGGATGGCTAGCCAAGAGCTTCCTGCAATATCTGATGATATTGAGAAGCGTGTGAGGAACCAGCGCGCTCTGGACCAAGCATCCCTGATTTTCCAAGAAGTTATGTGCTTGTTTCTTGAAAACTCAAATGTTTTGACTTTGAAAGACTGCAGTCGTATTGTGAAAGAAACAAGTGAAGAAAATCTAAAAAATAAATTTAAAAATTATTATAAAGAAGATAAAGCAATATTTGAAAAAGACTTGATTCAGTTCCGGGATCATCATGATATTCTTTTTGCTTGTGATGTATTAAGTTATTTTTTCATAGACGAAGATGCGAGGAGTCCATCCCTATCTGCATTGGAAAAGCTAAAGGAATTACGAAATTTGCACCAGCATCCTAAAGGCCCTGGACCGGAACCCATTGAGGTTTCCCTTGCCGTTATCAAATTCCTCAAGTATGTGAGGAGAGACTTCAAGCAAGTTTTATCACACGAGTCAATGAGAAAGCTGATAAAATTGGACGAGGAAGATGCCAAGAATTTACTTCATGCCGAGGAATGCGTTTCAATTTCTTCACTGGAAGAGGACTTGCTCAGCGAACAGTATTCTTATTCATCCGCTCGGTTGTTAGTTCGAGCGAAGACAGTCATTGACATCTCAAGAAATATTCCAGGCACCGCAGTTAACCACAACATAAATGACCTGAGAACAGATTTTAAAGTCTCCCTCATGAATTCCGTGAAAGAAGCAATCTGTGATGAAGCTCGACCGAGAATCACTATACTCGTTGGTGCCTCTGGTTTCGGCAAATCTTACACGACTCAACAAATTATCCGTGAATGGATTGCTTATAAGGGAGAAAAGAATGTGAATAGCGATGAAAAACTACGAAATTTAATTTTTTTCAATTTAATTCTTTTTGTTAACTGCTCTGAGGTTCGGTCTTCTGTTTTTGAACATTGGAAGAATCGATATCCTCATATAAAGGGCCTTGAGATGAGAACAATCCAAGCTCTAAAGCTATTGATCATCATTGATGATTGTGACTGCAGTTTGTCCAAACACAGAGACATTTTAGAAAGCATCATTGTTATGTACAAGAATGCACGTCTTTTGATTACCAACAACAACAAATATGTCGATAGCCTTTGCCGTGTCATCTCATGCACTTCACGTGAGAGCACCGAATCTATCATCATTCCAGGCCTGACTCTTGGAGAAGTGACAAGCTTGGCAGAAGAAAATCTCTGTTTTCTTACTGGAAATGAGACCGAGTTTAGACAATGCCAATCCGAGTTCGATCGAGTTTCATGGAAATCAATCTTGAAGTCTCCTCTTGAAATTGTCTTAACTTGCATCATCTGCGTCTGTGCTGTACAAAAATCCTTGCCCATACCCTCAATAACCACGCGTACCAGCCTTGTGTCACAATTCTTTACCTTCTGCCCTTTCGCATCATCGGAAAATTGGCGTCGAGTTGCTCAAAATTTGGGGGAAGTCGCTTTCCTGGCAGCATTTGAGACCATTCCTATGCGCCCACTTCGTCTGAAAACACTGGATGATTATGCAGATGAAACACATTATTACATGCGTATTGATAAAGAGTTAATCCAAGACAATGAGGTGTCAGATAACAAACTAGCTGTTTGGATCACGCACGAATGTTTCCTGTGGCGTTTTACTGCTGAATTTATTGCGGAGAACTGTCGTAATGGAAACTCAGAAGTTCTTGAAAGAATTGAGCGGAAAATTACTGAATCCTTTTTCTTCTGCCGTAGATTCAAAGATACATTGCTTCCTCTTATTAATTCCCTCATGGAGAAAAATATTTTGGTAGAGTATTCGAATCAGGTGGGTGAAATTGCCAAGATTATTTGCGATGAGTGTGAGAGCGAACCATTAGAATTTTGGGGATCGTTCGTCAAGGAAGCCGGACTTTCGGTCCCAATTGAGCTGAAGGCCTTGGTCCAGAATTGCATAGCAGAAACATCTAGCGAACTGCAGGTAGACGAAGACAACTACGATGCTTTCTTTCACTGCTTGAAGTGTCTCACGTATCTTCCTCGAAAAATCGTTATTGACTTGCTGAAAAGTCGAGAAAGTTGTCATGTTCTTGAGGCAGTGATGGAGCGGCTGCGACGCGAGCCCTTTCCAGACTTTCAGGACCAGCACATCGAACTGTCTCTGCGTTGTCCTTACAAGCTTCCCTGCCCCCTCATTTCCTTCCCTCCCTGGATGCAGCTCACGAAATTCCAAGGATCTTTACGCAATGAAGCTATTTCTGCGCTCGCGCAATTACCTCAGTTAACTTCAATAGAGTTGAAAATTGAAAATTCGTCGACACTTGAAACGTTTGTAGAGAGCGTAAAGAGAAAAATTTCTCCAAATGTATGCGACATTACGTTGCTGTTGGATGCTACAATCGATTATGATCTTGAGATGCCAAACTATCTGCCCCAATTCCATCAGCTTCGACTTCAGTGGTCAAACGCCACGAAGGAGAATCTTTTGAGTAGAGCAATACGCACTACAAACCAAGTCCTTCCTGAGTAAGTGTGATACGCCTGCGGAAAAACATTTTAACATACTTGTCGATTCATTGCCTCATTTTATTTCTAATCGTAAGCTTTGTATATGTACTAGTTTGCTTTTCCATTCCCTGAATTTGTATCATATGTGTCTTATTCTAATAACTTACCTAGAGAAACTTAGCTGTGACCGCTCCATCCAGCACACAGATGTTGTTTTATTTATTTTATTGTTGTAGATGTTGTTTTATTTACAAAAATTTTCTCACTTGGATCTATTTTTTTCAGGAATTACTTCGGCGCCACTATAAGTCTTAAAATTGTAGGACTGAAGGCTTCAGCCTGCATGCAGTACCTGATGAAACTGACGCGTCTTGATGGAGGCTGTGTAGAGGTGTGGACTGATGCTCATCTCACTCCTGAAGAGGAGGAAGCAGTTCGAATAAAGTCTTATCAAGGAAGTGATGATGGTTTGTACGCTAAGCCTCCATTCCACATCATGTGGAGGTGCTAGTGATGGCTGACGCCAATGATGGCTCTTTGAACTACCACGATGCCCCGCGTCCGCATCCCGATGCCCGCCCGCGTCCGACCTAGAGAAGCGAGAGCCTGGTCGAGTAAAAAAAAACTCTGAAAGCCTGCCATCGTTGAACGACCTGGTTTATTTTGTTGACTTACGTTGATGCTTTTGATATCTGCTTGACGCACACCGCAAGATGCGAGTGCGGCTGAGCAACGTTCATTTCATTTTCATTGACTCACTTTTCCATGACTGACGTTGATACATATTTTTGTATGAAGTCATTTGCTATTCTTCTATATTAATCGATGCATTCATATATATCGTGTTTTAGGGGCCTTTCTTAATAGATAATACGTGTCGTTCTGACTGACTCATTTATTTGAGTGCGTGATTCATCTCTATTCGTGGAGCTATTTCCCCACGAGACTCCTTCGCTTATTCGTAAGGGAATAGCGCTCGCCTATGTGGACTTATCCTCAGGCATATCATCCCTGCCATAACTCCAATATATATTACATCTATTTTATCATATGTTATGAATAATGATTTTCATATACTCGTTTCATAAGCTGAATATATCCTTTTACCAACTGCTATGCCCCAGAATAAATAAATGATCATGTTGAATGTAAAAACCTGCCACGCCATTAAAGGTTATGATGACGCTAATTAATATAATTTGTATGCATGTATGTAAAATTTTTCCGAGTATGTTTGAAGCCTTGCTCTGTAAATATACAAGGGCTTTTCAGTCTGTTATGAACGCTATATATACCTGGTCGGGAAATTACCTGGCAATAAAATCATATTTCGTAGCAATACTATCAGAAAACATTTTTCTCAAGGGGAGAGGGTGCTAAGATTAGATTTTGATATTAGGCTAGAAAATTAAAATGTGATTTTTACATTGATAAGTGTAAAGTTTCTAAAAATTAAAGTTATCATTTGTCCTGTTATAGAAATTTTCGTGACTGACTTTATTGGTAGTTTCGTATTTATTGTGGATTTTTCGGTGATTAGCATATTTTAATTTCAAAATATTAACTGAATTGAAACAACGGGACTCTAAGTTGCGTAGATAACACATCCTCGGCTACGCCATGATAATATGTTTCTATCAAAATTAATTTGGTTGATTTAATAACTATTTTCCTAAGAGATACTGGCAATATTGAAACAGAAACTTGGTGCCGAAATATTCTTTTTTTTTCTTCGATTAACCACGACATATTTAGCTGCAAATGAACGGACAAGGAGCAGATTTTTTTTGCTTAATGAATGTAGGCCTCGTGTGCCTAATATGTAATCACTGAAATGTCTTGCCGTTGATCACAGCGCAACGTAATTTCAATCAAATTTGGCACGCTCACATAAACGAGAGAATTTGTACAAATAGTGATGCACCTTTAGCCCTTGTGTGTGTCATCTCGACCCACCCTGGCCAGGCTAAAACGGCGTGCTAAGCCCGCTGTCTGCTCGTACGGTGGGTAAGGAAGTGTTAGTATTTGGACAACATGACCCATGAAGTTGCCGAACGCAGATTTTTCACAACTTTTAAATAGTGTGAAAACAACTTTCCTGCATAATCCTATGTGTTTTTGTGTTGAATTGATTGAATAAATGAGTTTTAGTCATATTTCTCAGCTGTAATGGCAAAAATTGTAAGAAATTATCGCATAAAACTAATTTCGCCACCTATTGGTAGCCATTGTATAAACTTTCTAAGTAAAGACTATAATAACGCATCTATTTAACCGCTGGGACACTTTGTAGTGCAATGAATTGGTGTGGCAGGCTTTCCTCGCATCACAAATCAAAACCGATCTTAACCTAAGTAACAACGAAGCTATTTATTATCATATCATAGGGATGTCGGCGCTGAAGAATATGCCTGATGTGGCATGTCGTCGATTCTTGTCCATTTCGTAGCTTGTTCACAGGAGACCTAAAAACAGTTCATTTGACCGGAGCTTTTCAAAATTGACGATAGTTTGAAATAGCTACTTGACTTATACCAAGCTAATTTAAAGTCTGAACATACGTTTCCCCATTGTTTCATCTAGTCTGTTCTTGAGCGCGTTTATACTCGCAGCCTCAACGTCAATTTATTGACAACTCTCCTACGAATTTTGTAACAAGTTTTTCGTTTGCTTATTGCCCACGTGGTGTGCTAAATGTTATGTTTACGGACCCATTTGCTCGCTTAAGGGGAGCGTCTCGGTCCCAGAGAAACTTTTGTCCAGTATCTAGAATACACCGTTTGATGCTGACAGGCAAAACCTTGAATGGATCTGTCTGATCTACTAATTAGACGTAGATAGACCTGAGGGGTTTTGGTTCATTTATTAATTGTCCGAATAACAGATTAAATACTCATCGGCCAGGGAAGGATAAATAACAAGTCGTGTATCTAAGCTTAAGTATTGAAGAAAGGTTCATGGGATACACTCGATAGAAGTTACAGGATCAAGCACAGTATGTGCAGTAGATTGGGAGATAGAGTTAACGACACTACATATTGGTCTGAGTGCCGGAGTCTGCATGACTGCAGCTGAAGGCTGTCTGCCTAAGACTGAGACTCTGCTGGGACTGACTAAACAGTGCGCTCTGAGAGCTTATATACGCGGTGACCCGCGAATAGTGACGTCACAGAAGGTGACGTAATAGTCAGTAATGACATCAATCCCGGACACGTCCCCCCTACGCTTGTAGAAGCGTCCTCGCTTCTTTATTATAAAGCAAGGCTAATACGTGGGTCAACGCATCAGTTTCATGTCAACGATCTTCTTAACAATGATCAAAATCGTTAAATATAATGGGACTGAACGGCATCAGTGCTTAGATTAGGCATTAATTTAATTTGGCATTAATTTAAAACCAAATTTTTAAGAACAAGGCTCAGTTACTAAAGTTTACATGGACATCATAGTAGTAACATAGAAATTCAAATGCCGGTTTTCTGGCTTCATACGCTCAAAAATATAGTTTATCGCTCGGCAAGAAAAATATACTTTCATTGATATCTATTTTTAGATAACCATGTAATAGCCTATTCTTGGATTTATTATAGTTTAGTGCTGAAAAGTGAATGAATTAGCACAAAATGATGAGAATTATTCGGGATAAACTCGGGATCCTCATCGAAACATGATTGTATGAGATACAATGTTTCTATCAGTACTTTGTTAGTACAGTTAATTGAATCATCTCTATCGGTACTTCATCAATCTCTCGTCTATCGGTACTTGTATTGAAGTCGTTCCCTTCCCCCCTTTGGAAATCGACGCTCCTGTGTCGGCACTACATAATTGTGAATTTTACAACTTACGTTGGCTAACTTGACACAAGACGCTCAGGGTCAGTGGTACATACACCATTACGTTTTCGAGAAGTTGAAAGGAGTTACTCGCTTTAATACAGTATGACTTCATTGAAACAAGCACGAATGCTCATCTCTTACCGTCGGAACAAGACATTGAATTATATTCCAGTTACATTGCGAAATGTCGAAATTTTATTTAACATGATTAATTGTCGAATCAATCGATATAACGTACTCTGTGGGACAGTTTCCGTACACATTCGAACATTCATATTGGAATTAGTCGTACACAATAGAGAATAATTAGCAATAATGATTGACAAATCATGTACAATGAGGTTGTCAAAGGAAGTTAAAGCATTCTGCGTCAACATGTTAATTTCAACTTGTGAAATATTACAGCTGAATGGAAACACAATAATTGTATCATACCATTTGTCATTCGCAGTGCTTAATGCAAATACAATAAAATATTTGAACAACATAATCTCATTAACGGTAAACATCGTTCTAATAAGAGGCAAAATGTAGATACATACATGAGCAATTTTTACAATAAAATTGTGAAATTTCAACTACGGTTCGTCCATTTGAATGATCTCAGTGACATGAGATTAAAATTAATCTCCTCATTAGTCATAATATCATGATATCTCTTGCATTTAGGCAAGTCTCATTAAAGATGAACTATAAGAACCGCGTTATTGCTATGTGCTTTAATTAGATTGCTAGTCTCATTAAAGATCTCATTAATGCCATCGCTGAGCGTGTGGTTATTCTCGCTTACGTAGCGATTTGATTCGACGTTTTGCGCAAGGTAAGCAAAGCAGCTTGCCGCGTCATGAAAGTTTTGCACTTATAGCAAAAAAAATTATCGGTGACTTGATCTTGAGTTCTTTACGTTAAGCACGAGATCAATTGTCGGCATGAATTCAGGTTATTGTGAAATCATCTGAATTGAAAATTTCTCGCGACATGATCAAGCGTTTGAAAATTTAGTTAGCTTATAAATTTGCGCATACTTCGTAAACACAGATATATTAATAAGCAACTCAAAAAAAATCACCATATTATCTTAAATGCACATAATTTTATTCGTTATGCATCATAGAAGAAATTCTCGCCCAGCAAAGGCAGAAAAATTATATACTGACTTTCATCTATAGATCGGTCAGCATTTCTTATATGCAACGTTAGCTTTATGCAGTTGAAATGCCAGTCTTTGACGGCTGAATCTACTCATGACTGTACAATAATTGTTACAGTTTAATCAACTTCATTAAATCTACCGTATGAAACCACATGGATGTTTTAATACATCAACTCATTACTTTTACAGATAATAAAATTGAGTAGATCACATGGTAGAGAAATTAAAGAGTGGAAAGTTATATTGCATACAAGCATTTGAAAAGACAGTTGTCTATCAACGTTGTAAAACCGTACATGATATTGCTACAAAAAACAATAGGCGGAAATTATGTAATTATTTAGCGTTGCCTAGATATTAGAATAACACATTAATACAAACAAAAAATTTCCCGCTGGAATCGCTGTTCAATGCATTTAACGTGCATCAATGTTTTCGGTATTCATACTCGACAATATTACACATACATTTGCACTTAAGCAAAAATTGAATAATCGGAAAGGCACTTACAGTCTCGCTCAGAAACTGCAAGGCCAGCAAGTCGCTCCCACAACAGTTCCACACAGTCAGTGTTTGCTGATTTAGCGATTTCCTTACAGAAATCTGACAAACGGGACATGATTCAATTATGAAATGCCGTCACTCAGGCGATTTCCATCAACAAGCTTAGCACGTTGACCATGAGCGAGAAAAGAAAATCTGCAACATCGCACTGATGTTGATGACACATCGCACGGATGTTGATCGCAGCATTGAAATTGAAATCCGTGGTCATAGCATGTTATGAACAGACCGAGGTCAAAAGATCCTCGAGTGTTAAAGTGTGAGATCGTTGTGAACGTGAGAACGTCTTACTTGCCATTCCGTAGTTAATAATAATAAAAAAATTATTATTATTTATCTATTATCGAATGTGAATAGTTGTAACAATTTCTTACACAACTGAATAGTAGTAACACAATCGGTAATATTTTTATTATTAGGTCCCATAATTATAAGGAGAAAACTTTTACAATTGAGCAATATTAACCCAATCATTAAGCAAGAGAAAAAAAAATTCTATCTCGCGTGCAAATCGTCGATAGGATAACAATAACAATAGTATGTTATTAGAACTCATTTATCGCAGAACAAGTTTCTTTTAATAAAGATGAACTTATTAAATTCAATCGCGATTTATGAAACGATTTCCAGTTTTCACTTCTTATTGCGATCGTTATTTCGATCGTGGATTCGATCGTGAAGTCGATCAAGCTAAGGACTCTTACTCACTTGCTGAGGCAAATGCTCTCAGAAGTGTAGGTTAAAGGTTAACGGATACTGAAATTGAATTTCCTCGAGCTGCAAACGCACGTATGCTATTGCGTCGATTTTTCACTCAAAACGTTTCCATTAATTCAAGTATGCACGTAATTGATATTTAAGGAAAATTATTCCCTATCGAATTCTTAACCTCTCGTGCATTCAATCAGCAACATTGTCAATTTAATATTGATCATAAAATGCTCTAATTTGATTACTTGAATTTATACAACACAATTTTTATGCTCTACATGTTGTAAATTTGAGCAACGTGATATTAAATTTACCACGATTATAAGTCATCTCAATAACAGTCTTACTGACGTCTTATTTTCTGCATGCGTAATAGCGTGCAGTAGTCAAGCTATTATATATTACATCTCGTTATATTCTTGACAAGAAATAACATTTAATAGTATGAAACATGAAAACATCATTGCACTTTTTCGCATACAATGCAGGTTTTGAATGCGTGCAATATTTCGTAACAGAATATTAGCTTTCAACGTGATAGTCTCGTGAGTATCAGAGATTAATTGCACTTTTACTCATCTGAGAAAATTAATCGCATGACACATTAATATCTTTATATTAATAGAATTAATACACAATAACGTGACCACCTTTTCTCAGAACGGTATTATGACCATTCTATAAGTGAGTAAATGCAAGAAGTCGCTCGTGTGATCGCCTTCTTTTTCGCATACAGTGCAGTTTTTGAATGCGTGCAATATTTCGTAACGGAATATTAGCTTTCAACGTGATAGTCTCGTGAGTATCAGAGATTAAATGCACTTTTACTCATCTGAGAAAATTAATCGCATGACACATTAATATCTTTATATTAATAGAATTAATACGTAACCTCACAGGTATTATTTCCGACTCATTTTTCTATGAATCAATGACCGTTATTTTGCA